ACAGTGGAGAACAGTTTGGCCCCTTGCAAGCAGATCCTAGAGACATCTGCATTTGCTATCACTCCACATCTCAGCAGGGAGTGTTTAGGCATCATGAACTGGGACCAGCTACTCCACGAGAGAGTGTGCATTCACCACGGGAACTTGGGTTAACTTGATCTACTTGGTGACACTGCCCAGGCCTAACTTGTTTGGGCTGAACCACAGCTTGTGAGCTGGGTGCCTCAGAGAAGGGAAAATGATTTTCAGGTGGCTGCACAGGAGGCTGTATGGGGGAAATATTAAGAGCCTTAAAGTTGTACAAATAAAATCAAAGCTACCACAGTATTTACTGTCTTTGAAGGTGAGAATATCAGAAGACAGTTATTCAAAAGTATTCACAAAAGAAAAGAGTGACCTTTGTCTTAGCTCAGGCTGGTGTAAACATACCATAACCTAGCAGGGTGAGTGGCACTTAAACTAGATAATGGATATATTTCTTGCTGTTTTGCATAGCAGGATGTGTGAGATCAGACTGGCAGCGTACTTGGGCTTTGTGAAGGCCCTCTTCCTGGTTTGCAGATGGCAAAGAAAGCTGTGCAAAGTAAGAAGGGAAGCAAGCTCTCAGCATCCTCTTCTAAGGGCACTAATCCCATCATGAGGGCTCCACTCTCAACATAATCATCTCCAAATACATTAAGGAATAGAGTTTCAACATATGAATTTGGAGGTCACAAATATTCAGGCCATTGGAGTCACACAAGGGCGAATCCTAGTAGGGTTACTTCTTATGATCAGATGTGCTGTAGATTTTTCTCCATCAATTGTGTATTGCTAAGAGGTCATTCTTCATCTCTCTATAGACATATATTTTTACATGTTTTCCAGGGGTTCCTGATTTTTATCTGTGATTTAATCCAAGCAATGTTACTTTCCCCTGTTTTTGTTTCCTCCCCCTTACCCTTAGCTTGGTCCCACAGATGGGCTATGGAATATGGATGAGTTTTAATTTTGGTCTTACAAAAGAGAAGATAACTAACACTAACTGCAGAATAATCCCTCTGAAGTTTTTCTTTGGATGAAAGAGCAACCTGTTTCCTCCCATGTGACTCAGTGGTGGGATAAGAGGGATGTTCTAGATTAGGATAATAAGGAGTTAGATTCGGTCTTTTCTGATTGCTTTAATTAAATTAGATTTTGAAGGTCTATCATAGTTCTTAGATAAGGTAGGTTGTTGACAAAAGACTATATTAAATTTCTTGTGCATGAAACCTAGGTAGTTTCAGGTCAGATAGAGTAGCAATTTCCTAGGAATTGAACTCCCTTTGGAATAAAGCGAGCCTCTTTGTTGGGAAAGAATTTTAATGTCAATATATGATAAGTTCTGATTAATTATCTTTAATTGGAAGTTATTCTTTTAAACTTGAGATGGTCATTTAGTTCAAAATGCGAAAGTTTATTCGGGATCCTGGGAAGCCAGTCAGAGGACCTGAAGACCTCATCTACCTACTTTCATTTAGAACATGGACTGTCCATCAGCTGCCCCTTACACCGGTAATCCCAGTTCTCTGTTGGACAGTGCAAATAAATTAGAAAAATGATAAGCAGTGAAATGTTCATACTGTCTAAAGTATTTTACTCTGAAGGTCCAAAAAAGACCTGAAAATAAAGTCAAAAGAGGGATTAGCAGCTATTCTCACCCAAGAACTCCTTAAAACGATCATTGGTCTCAGATTACTTCAAAAGGTTTTCAGTTTTCAAGGCAAAAATCACTTCAATGGATTTTTTTTCTGATTACAATTTAGTCAGTGTTTACTGTAAACATTTTTTTAAAATTAGAAATATAAGCCTTTCACCTAAATTCTTAGTCCCTTTAGACTTAATAACCTAGCCTCTAAGATGACTTCTCTTTTGAATTCTATTTTTATAATTTTACTTGTATGGTCAGTAATTGGAAAAAATTCCATTTACTTGAAGTGTATAAACTTAATGGACAGAGGTTCTGTTAAGCTTACAAAGCCTCATATCTTGGTAGGTGGTGGCAAGAATAACCACAGAAAGGCTAAGTTTATGGAGGTAAAAAGTGGCCAGGAAAAACCACACATCTTTTATGAATTCTTTTTCAAGCACGGTAGTAACTGAAGCCATTATACATATTTTTTCATTGGATTCCCTGCCTCCCTTTTTCTTTCACACGCTCCCTTCCCTTCCCATTCCCGGGTGTCCTGCGCGCCCAGCCACCTTGTTCTTTAGCTCAGGCCCTGTACTCCTACTCTGTTCTTTCCAGTCATGCATGATGGTGCCTTGTGAAAACTCACACACTTTTCACTGACTACTTATGATTTCCATTTTGAAACATACTCTGCCTTCTCCTACTGTTGTGCATCTGCAAGTGAGTTTGATAAAGATATACTTGAGTTCTTTCATAACTGTAATATCTTTGAGGCTGGCTCTTTATAAGCATTACCCATATGATTTAAAATATACATGGAATAAATCCTTGTTCAGAAACACAGAAGCAGTGGAAAATAGTATCATACCAGCTGGTTCAAGCCAGGTATTCGACCACTGGAAATACACAAGTTTGGGGAACAACCCGTCTTCTTTCCAAATTTCAGTAACTTGTGCATGGATTGAGAATTGGGTAGGAGGACTCCTGCCTAGAAGTCGGATGTGTTGGAAAGCAATAAAGAGTCATGAAGGGAACATTGGCTTTGGGCTCAGCCCTATGCTCGAACTGAATTCTGTCACATGTTAGTGATTACCTTTTCCATTTCCTAAATGAGAGAGTACATAAAGGGCTACTATGGCTCACTAAATATTAATTATCACTATTTGTCTCCAGCTTAATAGCTGCTGCCTACACCCTCTGAGGTAGGTAGCAGAAAGTGAAATATCAAAGCCATAGAATACTCTTACATGGAGAGACAGTTTCTTATGTGGAGTTAGCTGGACTTCTTTGAGTAACAGTTTAACATTTGGCAGTTGATTTGCTTTCTAAGGAAAAATTGTAACCCAAAATTGTCTCCTAAAGACCTCAGCAAGTCTTGCTCTGTCCCTGCAGAGGACAAACACAGACATCAAGACGACGCCTGTGGTGCTGTGATGATGTAATCCAAGCTCAGGCACTCATGAATTCATACTGCAAAACAGATCCTAAGATCAGAGAGCTTGGCTTTGGAGGAATTTCCTTAGAGACACAAAGCTTTACTGTCCTTTTTAGAAAACTCCCTTTTAACACCCTAGATTGATCATCTAACTTATGGTTCAGCCAGACCATTCTGTCATGAGCCATAATCAGCAGTCCCATGTTAATTAAATCCCAACCTTCCTGCGGTGACTTCTTTCCACTGTTTCCGGTGGTGCCCACCACAGCAATGTAGTGTCCCGGGCCCATTCAGACCTGCTCTTAGAGATCTGTTCTAATTTCCTTTAACTTCTCCAGAGTAAGCATCCTAATGTCTTTAACTATACTGCTCTGCCACCCCACTTGTCAAAGTATACGTGTCAAATATTAGCTTTGATTTAAATATCGTGAAGCTAATAAAAACGTGAAAAATCCAGAATTCCAGGGGAAACTAAACTATAAAGCTGTGACAGATTGTTTTTAACGATCAGGGCAGTGAGTCATACTGCAAGGCACATATGCCCCAAGGGGAAAAATGCACTACAATATGAATTTTTTTTAACAATATAAAACGAAATAATAAATTTTGGAGCAGTGATTGTTGCAGCATTTATCTGGTTTTTGACAGGGTCCCTTATCCACATTCTTTACAAATATATAACAGTAGGCCAGTGTTAATGTTGGGTAATCTGATGACCTGTCTTTGATTTGGGGAAATGTTAAACAAAGCGGTCTTTTACGAGTGTGGTGAAGGTGCACAACTAGATTCTGGGTCCAGAAACAGCTGGGAATAGGATGAAGGGTGCAGGAGAAAAGGGTGAGGGGCCGTTTCCACCCCCTCGGCTCACTCTCCATCAGGAAACACCCTTCAGTGTCTGGGCTGCAGAAAGTCACAGGCTCAGCACACCACCTCTGCTTCTGGATCCTTAGAGCTTTGTGTGGTGAGAGCCCCCGCTAGGGTCTGCTATGAAAATGCATCTGCTGCCTTCTCAGAGAAGATATCTGGGTCTCTCAGCCAAATCTAAATAAAATCTTAGCACATGCAAGATAAGTGCACTGTTTTAAAGATACCATTTTAGCTTGAATATATATGTTTAAAAAAACAGCACATAGATCCTGGATCAATGAAAAAGTATCTCTAGAGTAACTGTTTTTTTAAAAAAATAACCACTAAAAGCTTTCCTTCCCAAAGATCAGTGTACTGTGGAAAGGAGGTAGGATCGCAAGCTGAGTTTCCTCGTCCGCCATGCCTAGTTCCACCAGGCTCACATCCAGGAGCTGTCTTCCTGTCTGTCTCCTCGGCTAGTTAACTGCACTGCATTTTCGTTTTCTTCTGCCTTCCCAATTGGCTGTGATTTCCTTTTCAGACCTGAGCTGCTTTCTGATTTGGGGCGAGTGGGATGGGTGGTCTTTATAAATCTTTCCCATGGTTTCATGCCCCTCTGGAGCAGACCTGTAAGCCCCAGCCTTTGCAGACATGAACAGTCCCAGGCCTGTCCTCACTGTTGCATTAGCAGAAAACCAAGTCCTAACCTCTGACCCTCCGGGGTGCCAACCCAGAGCCCCGGGGCAGAGAGGTGAGGCCTGGTGCAGACCCTACCGATTGGGGCAGGGAAAGGGTAAGGTCACTTCACTACTTGGAGTAGTGTAAGCAGAATTAATTTGTATGCATCAGACATACATCTGTAACATACATCTCAGAACACATGCACGGAACCCGGCTCCGTTTGCGTCCAGCTGGGCTCAGGCCAGCGCGTTGAGTGCAGTGAGGTTCTGGCCCCGTCCCTTGGGCAGGATCCGCACTGACTCATGTACTGTAGAGCCCGGCGCACAGAATGGTCCCTTTGTGGCTGTTCCTCGGGCTGCTGTGCGGCCGCAGTCACGCGGGGCGGACGGGTGGCCGAGTGACGGCCGTGTGTCAAGGCGCGCACCCCGCGCTGCCGGGGTCAGCAGTGGCCTCCCGAGAGGCTTTCAGGAAAAACAACTTGGAGGACCGAAGGCGGGCGCAGGCCGGCGGGGAACGCACACGGCCACGCGCACAAGTGTTCGGGCGCCACAAGCGCCTCTGCTCTGCGCGCTCGTGGCGCGAACGAACTGGACGGGCAGCCGCGGGGCGTGGGGTCCGGCGGGTTCCGCCTCCCGCCCGCGCTGCCCCGCAGTGCTGCCCCGAGCACCTGGGTGCCCCGGCTCCCACAGGGAGCGCCTGCTCTCCCGCGGCCCGGATAAGGGCGCAGCGGCGAGGTGACCGCGCGCGGGGCGGGTCCTGCGTGGGAGGCGGGGAGCGCGGAGCCCCGAGCCGCCCGCCCACCTGCCCGCGACTCGAGCTCCCCGGCGGCGCCCGCGTCCCCCTCGCACGGCAGGGCGCGGGGCGCGAACCCGCGGGGAGCGCGCGGCGGGCGCAGGGGCGGCGGCGGAGGCGCCGGGAGCGCGGGTGAAGGGCGCCCCGTCCTCCACTCCCCGGAGCCCTCAACGCTGTCCTTGGGACCCGACGGGACGGGACGGGACGGGACGAGGCGCCCAGGGCGAGGCGGAGTCAGCGGACCCCAGGGCCGCGGTGGGCGCACCTGGGTCTTGCGCATCCCCGCGCCGGGCCGCTGCTCCTGGGCTGGCGCTCGGGGCCGCTCCGCCCCACACCCCCAGCCGCGCGTCTGCTCCTCGGGAAGCTCCTTCCCCGCCCTACCGGGGAGCTGATGCAGACTTGCAGGTAAAGATTCGCCTGGACGTTTGCTCGCGGAGCCAGGGTGGCTGCAGCCCTAGATGAGCAGGGCGTCCGCTCCCGCACTCGTTGAGCGGCGGAAGAGGACCTGGAGCGGGGACGTTGGAAGGGGAAGAAGGCGGGGTAGAGGCGAGCGCCCTGGGCCCGAGAACCGGGGTCTGCGAGCCAAGCGGGGCGCCTGGCATTGCTCCTCGAGTGTGCTCGCTGACCCCGTCCCTTCCCGCAGGTTGTAAAAACTGTGAACGAGTCAAAGACTTCATCCTTTTTTAGGATCTGACAATGATGCCTATCTTTAAGGAATCTTTTTATTATGACAAAGTAGAAATCAACCCAAAATTAACAGCTGAAATTTCCTTTTTTCCTTTGGATGAGTGTGGTTTTCTAGAGATGACATAACTATCATAAATAAATGGGAGGTAGCATAATTTAGGTAAAGCGGAATGGTTTGGGAGAATAGTTCAGTTTTTAACTGTACTTTGCCATTAAGCAAAAATTCCGAAAGTTAGCACAGGACGCCTTTAAAAGCGTAGCTCCGGGCGCTTCATGGTCTCCTGTGCGCTTGGCGGCGGGCGCTTAGGTGCCCGGAGCTGCTGCTGGCTGAGGTGTCCTTGCCTGCTGCTAAGAGTGCAGCCCTCTTTACCCGCGCTGACAGAGCATGCTCCAGCCTGCTTCCCCGAGGCTTTCCAGGAGCCCCACTTTTGCCCATAGCCATCCAGCTTTGGAAATTAGACCCAAGACATCCGCACAGAGGATCTGAAGTTGTCATCAAGAGGCTGGAAAGACCATGACCAAGAAAGTTTAGAAAAGTCTAAAGTGATGCAAAATAAGATTTTTGTTTATTTGATAGCCTTTGATTTTTATTTTTAAAATAAGAAATTTTATTTGATAGTCTGTAAAATGGGAATAACAGTAAATATGCTGTTACGGTTGTGGTAAGAGTGAAATAAATACTGTGCATAAAGTACTTAGTGTAGGTGCCCAGAAGGCAGCGCCTGTTATCATTACTAATCATGTTGATTCTTTCCTTATCCAAGATCCTCCTTTGTGCTAAAGACTCTTAACCCAAAATTGAATTCAGTGAGTCAAGTCCAGTTCAAAGAGTGAAGAGGAGTATATTTCTACCTTCAGATACTCAAAGTAAATGTCCTGCCGGCTTTGCTGTCAAGGTAGGCTTTAAGTTTTAAATCATGCAATAGAGCATTTGTTGAATTTGTACTCCACCCACTTCGATATGTTTTAATCTTGACTTTGGCACTCCTCGAGTTAATTCTGCACGTGAGTTCTCAGCAGCTCCCTGACCCTGTGTGAGGCAGGTCTCTCTGCTCTGCGGGATGCTGGGGAAGCCCGTTTCTGAAGTCTGGCCCCCACACCTACTAGCTTTGTGGTCTAAAGAAACTACTTTTCCGTATCATTAAAATGTGGCTAGAAACATCTTCCTTTCACAGTAGTTGTTAAATTCAGAGTACCGAAAGCACTCTGTCCTCAGTAGATATTGCTCAAATGAATGGATCAGTTGAACCCAGCGCTGTCTCACCATATACTGTTCTGATCCATAGATTGGTCTACTTCATAAGGATAGGAAAAAGTTTAATTCAGTGCCTTGCTAAAAGTAAAAACCTCATATAGCCCCTAGCATATTACAAAAGTAAATGTTAATTTAAAAGTGAATGCTTCTTAGTGAGCTGCTAATTCCTAGACATTGCCAAACCCTCCCCCAGTACTACCTATTTATGATTAAGAGACTGTTTGCCAGAGATTGATGTCAAGCTAAATAGTCTGTAATGCTTAGGAATGCTAATAATTTTCTTCAATTCCAAGAAATAAAAGCATTGCTGATGATGGGGATTGTGAGACCTGGGCCTCCTGCCCCAGGTTTTCTGGAGAATATCAGAATATGCCCAAGCTCACACCTGAGGGCTCACAGGGGTCCCTGGTGTGTGATCACCAGAATGTGAAGACACGGACTCTTCAAAGTGATCTCTTGTGCTTGCATCTTTGAGCTGTCTTCATGAGGTTTTTATTCCTTCCAGTTTGAAGCTCATTTGCTTTTAAGGCAGCAAAACAGCTGCTAAGTAGTTGTTTTCTTTCTCTAATTAATTAATATACCATCTGCTTTTTGGATGAGAACTTTCTGACTGGGAGCTATTTTCCATTGCAAGTATACAGGAAACAATATGCATGTAATTGGTGGAGAAAAAACCACTGTGGTATTATAATTTGAAAGCACGGGTAGTAGCTAATAACTCTGATTTTAAGAATTAATTTTTTTCTTAACAATTAAAGGTTGTGGGGCCAGTGACGCATCTTAGTGGCAGGGCACTTGCCTAGCATATGTGTGGCCCTGGACTCCATCCCCAGCACTGCAAAATAATTTTTTTTAAAATCATGAATTGTGAAGCAAATGTTTACCAAGGAGCTAATGGTGACAAATTTGTGAAGCTGGATGGGGAACAGAGACACAAGTATGCAGGGATCCTAGTTCAGAACCCTTTAAATGTTGCAGTGGTCAAATGAAACCCTGGCCTGAGCACTGCTGCAGGTTTGCAGCCTTTGCTTATAAGCGTCGTGACGTGGGAGAACTGTAATGCAGGCACTTGGATGTCAAGTGGCCAGACCTTAATACCATTCATGAAGTGCCTTGATATGGAACTGTTCTGTACAAGGTAACGAAAGGAAAAGTGACTCCTTCCTGCCTGTGAGGACCTCGCTTGAGGAGCTGACATTTATAAATTAAATAGACACCAGTTCCCGAAGGGGGAAGGCTGACAGGATTCCAGGTCTGTCTGCGTGAAGGAGATGGGGCTTCCCCTGTCCTTGAAAATAGTTGCTCTCTAGTTTAAGCAGGGAAGAGGGAAAGGTTGCTGGGGGAGATAAGGGGGAGCTGGTGTGTTCTAATTTAGAGAAGGGTTAGGAGGAGGAAGTGAGGATGGGTGCAGCAGGACAGGAGAGGGGATTTCCCGTGCTGGTGAGGAGTCCTGTGGGTAACACGAGAACCTTAGTGTGTTTAAGTGTACCCTTCCTCCTCCTCCAGTACCGGCTTCAGCTGCGGACAGTAATCCCAATTCTCCTTGTGGAAAGAAGCGTAGCCTGTGGTGAATGACTGACTAAGCTTTAAACAGCAAGCTTTGTGAATTCTTGGTTTTGACCTAGATCCTAGTGGACTTAAACACTGTGTCTCGCTGTTTCCCTATCAGAGAAATAGTTCTTTTCAGTGTTTCAAGTTGAAGATACTGCTGCCTGGAATTTAATTCAGGGCTCAGTACTTAATACTCTTTTTATTATACTTCTTACTTTGCTAAAGTGAATTAGTTTCATTATATAACAGACTAGGGTTGATAACGTAGAGAAAAAAACTCTCCTAAGTCCCTAGGGTCAGTGACCAGGGCCTGTGAATCAGATTTATACAGGACAATTAGCATGATTCAAAATATGGCATTGCATGATTCCAGGAGATAGATCAGGGCTTGCTTAATGGACAAAGCATGCAAAGGTTCTTGATCAGGTTTTACTGTTTATTGTTAATCATTTTATGAAAAGTTTCATAATGAAATAAGACTGACAAATGTTATTATACTGTATTGTTATCTTCAGAGTAGTAACTCAGAGCAAGACCTCAACTAAAGATACTCTTTTTTTTTTTTTTTTTTTTTTTGGTCTTTTTCCTTTTTATCGGTACTGGGGATCGAACCCACGACTGCCTGCTTGCAAGGCAGGCGCTTATGCCGCTGAACTAAATCCCCAACCCCAACTAAAAATATTCTCACAAAAAACATAACACAAATTCTCTTTTCAACAAACTAAGATAGTATAAACGAAACAAATTAGTAAGTATTGAAATATTTTTATGTAATGTGATTTGGGCAAGTATTAGGACTTCTCCCTCTTAACTCTTTATCTCTATTTTGCTCTCTGTGTTTGCATGTATGAACATCTGTACATACTTACACATATATAGTGTTTCTCATAGGAGAGAAACCATGTATCCTGTTTAAGGTTGTGTCCTTAATTTGTATCCATTTACCTACAGATGCCTCAAGTTTATCTTTATGGCATTGTAGTACTCCATCGTGTATAAAACCACATTTTCCTTATGTGTCCATCTGCTGATGGGTGTGTACGCTATTTCTGAGACCTAACTATTATGAACTGTGCTGCTGTAAACATGGATGTGCATATATCCCTGTAATATGATTTTAACAGAGGTTGTACTAGTTTACATTCCCACCTACTGTGTAGAAGATAACTTTTCCCCACCTCCTTGCCAGCATTTGTCATTAGATGTGTGGACAGCAGCCACTTGTTCTGAGTGCTCTTTGGGCCCAGCTCACATCCAGGTTGTAGCTTCTTGGAGCTGTCTTCCATGGCGTGTTCCCTAGGAGCCTCCTCCTGAAGGCTCCACACTACAGAGCTGGCAGGGGACTGGCACCAGCAGCTGCACGGCCATTTCTGAGAAAGCATGGGGAGGGCGGTACCTGACCCTTCATGGACTCCATGCTTTGAGCAAAGGCCCACAGTGACACTGAGAACCCCTCAGAAGGGCACCCCCTCCTGTGTGCTTGTGTGATGGGCGCTGTCCATGCAGGGAGGTTCAAGGAGAAGGGGAGGACAAGCTGCTGCATTTGTTTTGGGTAAATTAGCCACCTCTTAAGGGGGAAAAGGTAACACAAATTTAAAATCCTCTTGGGCATGCACCCTACTTATGGCCTGAGTAAGTTCTCTCCTTCCCACACCTCTTATTTTGTTATTCCCTCCCCTGCCCCCTCCCCCAGCACCGGGGGGGGGGTGGGGGGTTGAATCCAGAGCCTTTGCACCGAGCTACATCCTCAGCCCTTTCCTACTTATTTTTGAGATGGGGTCTCAGGTGTCCAGGATGGGCTTGAACTCGCGTCTTTCAGCCTCCGTTCCCAAGTGTGCAAGCTATTCTCATGGACATGGGTCCTGAAAACACCGTAGACGCTTGGTACAGTCCGCCTGCTGGTTAAGGTATATTTTCATAGATAGCTCTTCCATCTAGCATGACATTATCAAGGTATAAAAGATGCTGACAAAGATTTCTGACAAATTACATTATTTAACTTTTATATTTCTGTAATCAGCCAGTAAAAAATGACACAAAAGCCAAAATAAGTTTCCTGGCTGGTATCCAGGATTTACTGTATCCTCCAGCTGATGGCCATTGTAACTTCCCAGCCTGACAGACCAAGAGTCTAAAAACAAACTCAGGACAGCTGATCCTGCCCGCTGCCCCAACACAGGTCCTGTGTGAACTGCCACAGTACTGTCTCACCTTAGGGCTAACTGGAAACTGTTTCTTCATTATATTAAGTAGACAGAGATTACACAAAGCTTTTTGTTCAATAATTTATAGGCTTGCACTGTAGTTGCCTACAATACATATCAAGAATCTGAACAGCAGTAATAATGGACAGCTGATTCTGTGGACCCCACCCCGGCTCTGACTTGAGGAGTTTTGGATTTTGGTGGTGGTGCTGGGCCCTGCATGTGTTAGTGTGCAGTCTCTCTCAGAACCACATCCTGGGTCTGGATCAGACCTCCCTATCCATGATAAACCTTAAATCATAAGTGGCTTCCGTGGCACAGAAAGCACTGTGCTAAGTGTGATTAGCTTAATACAGATGAGGTAAGCTTCTCCTTGTAGCAAGTGGTGAGCACTCCCATCAGCTGGGCAGTGGAGCAGCTGATTCCCTCCTAGCAGGAAGAGCTGTGTGTCCTTTCACCAAGACAGGGCCTGCAGACCAGAGCTGATAGCTCCGCCTGCGGTAGGAGCCACAGACCTGACTGGGAGCCCAGGAAGCCCTGGGACATAATATTCCTGACCAAGGCCGAGACCAGGTCATGACAGGCGCAGTGAGAGACGGTAACAGGAAACCAGGCGGAGCTTCTGCACCGTGGTCTTCATACAGATAATTCACTCAAAGCTGGGGGTGGGTGTTCTACAAACTCAGGAGAGGAAGTTTCACATTTAAGAACAGTTATGAGAGCTGGGAATTTAGCTCAGCAGTGCAGCGCCCGCCTGGCAAGCACAAGGTCCTGAGTTGGATTCCCAGTACCCCGCCTCCTAAAAAATAGTAATAATAAAAACATTTGTGATTGGAGAAAATATCATTGCAGCAATGAGTGATCCGGGAAAAGCCTGGGATCAGGA